ATTGTGGAGAAATTATTTACCGAATTTTTCGTAATGCTTACATATATTCAGAGGAAAACGCACCTATATCTACGTACATTTGGTGCGTTTTTACCTCAAACGTATAATGTCATACATTTTATTTATAGATAAACTGCATGAAACTGTCCTTGTTTGGGCATTGTGAATGAAATGCATTTTGGTTTCTTTGGCTGGCATTTTGTGAATCGAAGAAACTAACTCCGTATTTATAGTACACTCTAACATATCTTCCAATATTAAAGACAAAAAATTGAGATTAGGTCATGAATAGTATTCCATAACAACCAAAAGCCAGTTGTCTGCAGAAACATAGTGTTCACTGGGACACTGAAAATCTTTTGGAATAAGGACTATTTCTAAAGATACCTTCAACGCGTCTGCGCTTTCCGCTTTGTACTTGACAATGCGTATAAAAATTACTATTCTCCTCACTATTGCTGTCTCGGAATATGACACTCCTCCTCAAAAGTTGTGCTTATACAACGCTCTCCACCTCTTGCAATCTAAAAATATCTCGCATCATATCTTCCTGGATATAACTAATTTCCGGTCAGTCTGCAGCTGAGTGATCTGAATCAGGAGGCTCAAAGATTGCCAGAAATCCTCTTGGGAGTCTCATGCTCGCAGCACATGTATGCAGCGCATGTATTCCTGTTTTTAGTTAGTGTTAAGCAACTGATTGCTTCCGTTGAAATCTTGGCTATACTTTATGAAAAGCTTTTGCCAAAAGCACAAAACTAAGCTCGTTTAAAGATAATAACTACGATTTCTACAGCAGCTTTCTTACGCTCCCGCTCCAGTAGTTTTCACAGGAATGAAGGGTCTAATTACGATCAAATTGCAATTAATAAGTACAATTATGCCTCCTGTATTCAATCACTGCACAGATTCACTAACCCATGTGGTCACATATAGCACCTGAATCCCCCAATGCATTCTCGGTGGGGTTACTGAGTGGAGGATATTACAGCCTATGTGCGTGGGTGGATAGGGAAAGAATGGTAATGCATTTGATTATGGAAATTGACAATTCGTTACGAAAATTCATTCTAGTTCTAGATATTGGTCAATTCGTCAGCAGTTTATTCAAAAATAGGCAGTCAAAACTGGCATCCGTAACAGACTTAGAGCACAATATATAGATTTACAGCGTCGTAGATCGTTTTGACTTGATAATTTTGGGTATCATTTAAAACACATTCTCCGTCTTTTACTCAGATTCGTTGTTGCGACTTTGTACTCCAGCTTTTGAGTGCACATACGTAAGGTTCTTCAGATGAGGTGGCCTCTAAAACACCTTTTAGTTACTACGAAAAGTCTGTCGGCTTTCTCGCGGCTTACAATTCAAGCTACGAATATTACTTCTAGTCTTTTCGCTTTCGGATGTAACTTGGAATTTTGGTAACATTTAACTTTTTTAACGTACCTCTGCCAAAGACCTATTGCTGAAGTCGCTGATAAAACTGGGTTTTCGAAAACACCTGGGGCACGTGCTGGAGACAAATACAATGTTTTGTTCAACTAAACGTGAAAGGTTTTTCTCCAAAATCATTTCAAACTAGGAGGCCAAATCGACCTGACCCTATCCGACCATTCGGTTCCCTGAAATCAGCGATCCGATCACTGCTATGAAGACTTCCACCAGTTCTTCCCTGTTTGATTAGAACATATCTATTTCATATCGTTTGAGTTTGAGTTTGGAACACATATGGAACGGCACCGCTAGCTATAGTGCCAAAGTTCAGTTTTAAATACTCGATCACACATTGGCTGGGCAGCAACAAGAAATCCTTGATTATTTTGACCAGACATTGGTCATATGGCCAGACATTCAGTAAAAATATTTAATTCAGAGTAAGGATGGGCAGCAGGCTTCTTAATCGTCCACAGACCCAAACCAGTGCTGATTGATATATCATTTGCGAATTTATGAGATTAGGTAGCTCTCGCATAACATTGCCAGACCTACCACCCTGGCCCCATCCGAATGAAACCTGGCCGTAAAGAACTATATCTGCTGAACCACTTGGCAGGCCAAACTGTATTGTTGCGCATCTCTGGACGGGATTCAGAGTAAGGGGCGTTCGGGCGTAATCTCTCAGATTATGGCTTCGCACCATTGGCTGCTCGACCACGTACATGAACCAAATGTCTGAACCTGCGGTTCTTCTTGTACTAAACAGGATAACAATTTCAATGAAAAGACTGTACTTCACTGTTTACAAAGTTCAACCATCAGTAGGGTAAAACTAACCTGCCTCACGACGGTCTAGGTAACGATTGTCAGTATTACAAGTGGCGTCTAAAGAAGGACGCCTTTTGCATCTTAAGATAAGAGAATAGGTGTTTCCACATCCGCAAATCTGGAAGTGAAACTGCACCTTCATATCCAATGTAGCTGTACAAAATAGAAACATAATTCCAACCTGAAGATCAGTATCGATGCAAATCTCGCAAGTTGCATTGAGCATTTTGCTAGGCGACAATTTTAACGCAGATAAACTCATCCAGCTCCTCGCTTTCACCTGGTAAAGTTTCCAATAGCTGTGGGGCCTACCACAACACAGGACTTAGACGGGATGCCAGTTTATAGTTGTTTATTTTACTCAACTGGGTAGTGATAATTACTATGCTTCTACTTGTTATCCCAGCAGCATTAAAACTCTTCTTTGAAATTAACTTGGTCCCTCCTAGATAAACTAAACAAACTGCTGAACTTCTAACGTGCTTGGTCTCTCGCTCCTTTTTGCTGTTAGGTGATCAAATATAGTTCAAGGTTGTTTCACCTTTAACGTGTTTTTCTAGTTTTCTATGTGAGCTGCTTACCAAACTGTGTAACTTGATGAATCAAATTTATTTTGTTAGCCGAAAATCTTTTGCGTTATTTTGTCGTTTTTTCATCTCTGATGATCGTCTAAGGTTCCTTCAATTCTTATACCTTAACCGCACTCATATGTATGAAATTTTCTCACTTAAATCAGCTATCCTTTTTCGGAATGCGATAATATGAATGGAACGGTAATATTCATGCAATCTTACTGGATGTGTGTGTTAGACTCTGGGCAAACGCCACACCTAAGACATAATGAGCAGGCGGAATTTTTCAATGGTTCCTAAATTTGAATTTTTAAATGATTGTGGGCTATTTTCATAGGCATTGCTTCAGTGTAAAATATATCGTGGCATTTCATTTATTTCTGTTCTGCAGAAGCCCTTCCAATATTTTCACATAAAGAATCGTCCCGAAATTCCCCTTTCATAAATCCATCATATTATCGAAACTTACAAACTCTTTGTTTTTCTTATAAGTTTTGAGACGAAGCCACCATACAAAGGTTCCAAAAATATGCCTCATTATTGAAAAGGAGACAAAATTCTCAAGTACAGAACAATTATTGGACAACTTTTAACAAAGTGCATCTGCACGTTTAAAGTATTATGCATTTTTACTGAATAGAAATCGGCTTAAAATAGATTTCTAATTTGTTACGGAGATCCTCGTTAAATATGCTTTAAAATATGCCATTATTGGAAGCTTACTTTTCGCCTGTCAATATGTCCTGTAAAAAACATCCTTGGTTCCACAATTTGTTGTCTTCTGTTCTGTCAGCCTTTTCCAGGCAGTCAGCATGAAGTGAGAACGGGATTTTCCAGTATTTTATCGTTACTGAAATGCTAAAGGTAGTTGTTGTCCGCAACAAATATTAAAGATGGAATTACAGGGGATGTATATGGTAATTTAGAATGGATATTGAACTTTAAATAAGGACGTACTTAGGTATATACTGTGGAATCTTGAATAAATCTAACACCTGTTTCTTTGATAGGGACTTGGAGGCTCTAAATGAAGAATTTTGGCAAGAGAAGCAAGCCTACACACCCGAATCGCGTCTCGAAACGCACGAATTCATACAACTGAAAAAGAAGAAGGAAAACAAGGAGGTTGGAGAAGAGTGGGTGCTTCGAATTTTCGTTTCAACTCAAACATCTTGCCTTTACTTTAATTTAGCCGAAAAAATAAGTCAAAAAGGACGGTCTTCTTTGCTTCTGACGGTCGTGCCTACAATATAAATGAGCCCAAGTAAGCCTCTTGACATTTTTGGGTAGCAAAATACTTTTAAATTAAAACTTTACTTAAATGCTGCCTTTATATTTGCTTTCAGTCCCAAATTAAAAGAATTTTCAAGTTTCAACTAAATTGCAAAATTTTATTCACTTCTCTTTGTGCCTATATCGCTTTAGATTTATAAAGGGGGCCTCTGTTAATTCTGGACTGTGAAACCGTTATTATTATGAAATATTACACACCTCTACTCTAATGATTAGCAGTAAGTATTCAGAGGCATTTCTTAACTGCCAGTGTTTGAAAATCGTCCTGCGCAATATCAATAATCATACCGTCAGGAGCAGGAACTTGCGTTGTTGATAACCGTAGAGCCACTTGGAAAGCTTTTCGAGGGTTAAATTACTTCTAATGTAGTTGGAACAGAGGTCTCAGATCTTCGCTCGAAAATACTGCCGTAAATTTTCATCGGAAGTATGAAAGACTAAGACAGAATATAGGCGAATTCCATTTGGAGTCCTATATGCATGCATTTAAGTTTTTGGAATATCATAGTAGTTAAACACATCTAAAAGACACCTTTCCCTCATAGAAATGTTAGATGTTTGTCTGAGATAATATCCACTCAAGTCCGCAACTACGTAAGTATTGCCTACTCCACTAGCCCTAAGAAAGGGCAATAACCCTTTGATTCGGATTATTAGTCACCAAGTAAATAGAGTCTGACGTGGCCTTTGTGTTCTGTCAAACGTCGGCGGTTTGTTGAAAAAACATATTTGTGATTATATGCGACTTTTCACCTTAGTCCTCTGAGTATAATCTTCTCGAATTGCCGCCTCTAGAGCCCACTTTCAAAATGACATTCAGGTCCAAACTTACGCCCTAACCACACGATTAGTACTTAGTACGAATGTTATGGCAAAACTCAGGACCCCGAATCATGACGACAGCACAGTTTTCGGCGTTCGTCATAATATCCCCGTCCTCACCATTGAATGCTTGCTCACCAGTGGGAGTAAGTGTGTGGTTGGGTGGCCTCGCGTCGCCTCGCCACGCCCAAGCATTGTACGCGATGTGTACCATTTGCATGTAGCTGCCAGCACCCAGAGGAACCGCACCTTTCCTCTGACAATCCCCCCTTCCACCCAGCCCGTCAACTATGCGGTTTCTATGCTACATTGAATCGAGGGCGT